ATGTCACTGCGTTCAACAAAGTTTTCTATCAGAGAGCCTAAAAGAAAAATCCAATAGGTTGTCAGTGACACTTTGTTGGGAACAATGTTTGAAGAGAAGGAATATAAATATATTGAAAAAATATTGAATTTTTACTCATCTTTGGACGTTTCGGGAACGAAACTGCTCCCGTTCTCAACATGATAATGCAAAAATATTTATCTTCGTAAGTTGTTATTATTTGAGTCTCATGCACAAATGAGTTACAGGATGTTCTCATTAATTGATCGCGAATCTACCATTTTCATATTCAGTTTTCAGTATTGAATACCATGTTCTATCAATATGAACTGAACAGGAAGTAAAGCTATTGTCTCCGTTCAGAAGAATGCAAGCAGTTTCCTCGATTTTTCCTTTCTGGTTGTTATATTCCTTTCCTATGACTTTTATACTATCCCACTTTGCCATATGTTGTCCATTATCAGTAAGGATATGCTCAGTTAGCTTCAATTTATCAATATGTCTTTTCTTGGTATTGTACTTGTGCCCTTTCGTCCTCACTGAGGGAGGTCTTTTCGTTTCACCAGTATAATACTCTCCAAAAACACGAGATATAATATAAATAGAACTATTTGATGCTTGTTCTTCCTTTTCTGGTTTTGTTTGAGTTGAAATCTCATTGTATTTTCAGTTTTGAAAGATATGCCAGGAACGTACGGTATTATATATATTTTCAATTAGTAGATGAGTTTCATAAACAGTGTTCTGGCATGGCTATGGGCTCACCACTATCTACAATTTTCAGCAAATATATTCATGAAGACTTTCGAAGAAAACAAAATACGAAAAACAACCAGAAACGTGGTGGAGATACATAGATGACATTTTCATAAGCTGGCCACATAACCTTATAGTTTTCTAGATCAATTATATTAATCAACGATCACATGAACAATACCGAATCCACACAAGTACAATATCAAGAGAATACATATCGATGAATCAAACATAATTGAACATATCCTTACTGAAAATGGCAACATATGGCAGAGTGGAATGATTATCTAAATCATAGGAGAGGAAGATAACAACCAAAAGAGGAAAATCGAGGAATCCGCTTGCATTCTTCTGAACGAAGACAACAGCATTGCTTGCTGTTCAGTTGATCTAGATAGAACATGGTATTCACTATTGAAAACTGAACATGAAAATGGCAGATTCAATATCAATTGATGACAACATCCTGTAACTCATTTGTATACTACCATCACTCATTCATATGCCAACATCGGTATTTCACTGAGAAGTGTCAAACTATAAGAACACAACTTTCGGAAAAGAATATTTCTGCATTTTCATGTTGGGAACGGTAGCAGATTCGTTCAATTCAAACATTTTTCCAAACAAAGTGTTACTGACAAGCTCTTGGATTTTCCTTTCAGACTATTTGATAGACAAATTTGTTAAACGCAGTGACAGTTTGGGGCAAATCATCTGATTTGTCCTACTACATATGTATTGGAACAATAGACACATTTTATTTTATATAAACGAGGAGAAAAAATCCTAAAGAATCGAGAGAAAAGAATGTACCATCTCCTCGATTAACCTACAGACAGTGCTTTTTCAACCGTTTTCCAAATATCGGAAATGGCGTCAAGAAAATGATTTTTTTCATAAAGTTACATTTTTTTCTCTTATTCTGAAAGAACATATTATTTTTTTTAAACAAATTTCGCTCAAATAGTTTTTTTTTACCTTCATTTCGGTCTCTATGATGTTGGCATTATCAAATAAATCTCAACCGACCCCATCGTAATATAAAATCAAGTCGGCTGGGAAACATTTTACATTCATTTAAAAACCGATTTATAATAAAACCCGGCCGACTTGATTTTTGTTACGGCGGGGTCGGTTGAGATTTCCTCAAAAATACCAACTCCACAGTCCCATAGCTCTTAACCAAATGAACATAGCTGAAAGTTGTTCAGTTTGGAGAAATATAATATGTTCATTCAGACTATAAAAAAATATTTTTTCTGACGTCATTTCCGCCAAATTTCCATAAGCTTTTTTTCTGTTATAAATCAAGGTAGTAAAGTTTGAACACCCTGTACATATGTGTTCTTGTTGATTTTGACAAGTAAGACCTTTCAAAAGCGATACAAGGAGGCCTTTGCAGTTAATTCTAGTAAAATACTATATCCTAATCTTACTATATACATATAAAATAAGCTTTCCAAAAAACATCTGCTTCCTGAGAAGCTCCGTTCCATCATATCACAGTTCCAAAATAATTAATCCGAATTTTAGTGCAATCGTTGTTTCTTCCAAAGCTCTATGAAATAATGATATTTCATTATATTATGGGAATAATTCCAATCGAGATGTGCACAAAATAACATCATTCTTCATTCATTAAATTCAGATCTTGGCGTATCAACTATTGCTGATATACAGGGTGTGTAGATATACAGGGTGCCCGTAAAAGGTCTTCACATAAACATATTCCTCTTACCAAAACAATCCGACTGGAGCAATTTTAGCTCAGTACAAAACGTTTTTGTTTATTAACTTTGAAACGGCTCATGACATTCAACTCAAATTTGTTACGTTGGCATGGCTTCCTTTGTCAATAAAACGTAAATCATGATTATCATGAATGTCACTCCATAGGCGTAGAACTTGATTTTTTTCAGAAAATAATCATCTGCAACTTCTACGCCAATGGATATAAAGTAGGTTGAATATGAAATCTAGATTGCATGAATTGTCTACACTACAAAAAAGATACTCCTGATGAAATTTGATTACTCTTACGGTTTCGAAAAATTTGAATTTTAGTAATTGAAAGCATCAGTCAATACCAAAATGATCAACATAATATATCTCGAAATTTACATTATCACCACGTATACAAACGAAATAGATTAGATGTATATTCTCTGAAAAATCAGAATCTACGCCCATGGAATGATATTCGATATAATAATGACATGAGTTCTATCGCCCAATGAAATTATGCCTAAATACCAAATTTGAGTAAAATCTCATGTGCCGATTCAAAGTTATGAAGCAAAAATAATTTGGAAATGGTCAGAGCCGTCTAGCGTGCAAACTAAACAACTTTGTACTGAGGTAAGTTTGTTTGTATCGAATTGTTTTGATCTGAAGAATATTCGGTATGTTTTTGTATAGACCTTTCAGAGACACCCTGTATAGTGTGTAAGTAGGTGATCCCTTGCCGTACTTTGAGAAATGGAGTTCATAAAAAAAATATATGTCCTTATTTGCCTCGTTTTGGAAATGTTGAAGTTGGGAGTATCAATAATTATTATTGTGTATGAGCTTTATGGTGCCGAAATTCAGTCTGAAATCTTCCGAAGTTATTTAGTGATCTCAATGGGTGTCTTGAGAACATATTCGTAAAGAATTCAAAGTCAAATAGAAATTTCATTGTTCCACAAAAACTAAGCGGAATAAGAATTTTCAGTAGTTCAATCTGATAGAAATACGAAATTAAAAAAAAAACAGTTTCATATAACTAAACCACCAAGTATCATTGCCATTAAGTAACAGATTTTTGAGTAATTATACAAAAACCAATGGAAACATTGATACCCTCTATCTCGAAATCGAAGAAGGTAACAACAAGAAATCACGTCATGATTTTTATTCACACCCTGTATATACCAGAATATATTTGTCAGGGTCATCTTCAATATTTGAAAATTTATGAAGCGATTTGAGAATTGTCTGTCTGCTCATATATTGACCCCTTCATCAACCATACGAGGTGGAAAAAACTTCGAATATGAAAGTTGTAGCGTTCCATATGTACTATTATTTTCAATTTTCTGATTCGCATTTGTTTTTCCAAGTAAAGTTGAATAATGGTACAGATAAAGCCCTACAACTTCCATATCTGAAGTTTTTTTCCACCTCGTATAGTTGAAGCTGTAGGTAGAGATCAAAATATTACACCCTATACGACAAATGATACCATCTCTCGCTGGCGTATTGTTTTTTTCACACTCCATCACATTCATTGTCACAGTTGGCCGTTATATTTCAAATTTGGGACAACATGCAACAACACATTTGTGACGTATCTTGAGAATCTGAGTTCAACAATTATTGTTGTTTTTCATCTTCTCTTCTTCTTGGAATATGAACAATATTTTTCTAATGATATAACCAAATAGTATGAAATTGAAATCGCACCCTGTACTTATACACTAAATTCGATGCCAAAGGATATGAATTGATGCTGTCTAGCCCGTATCATCATTTCACGATATCTGTGATCGAAAAAAATGAATTCATAAAACTGGATGGCACGTACTCAATACTGAGTAATATGGCATCTAAAGACAGGACGCAATAGAGGCCCGAGACTGGGCGCAACAAATAATCCATGCGGAAGCAAAACAGAGAATTTACTAAAGAAACATCATTTAAATAGCGAATGATTACTTTCTGTCTCAACTTCAACAGTCCTCCACAGTATAGTTTTTTTCAGGGAATAAGGAAAATATCCAACCTGAGCCTTCTTTTTCCTAAAAAGTATATTTTTCGGAAAATCACTTGAGAAAACGAAATGAAAAAAAAAAGACGACCGTCGCAGGAATATTTTCCAATTAATCACTTCGAAAAAAGGAAGGAAAATAAGAAAAAGAGTCTGTTGAGGCGGGATACGAACCCCGTACCTTCGACATATCATATCAAGCTGGTACTCTACCAACTGACCATTGTGCTTCTCGCCACCTTATGTACTATACAGGTAGAATAATGAATCAAACTCCCCACATAGATTATTTGTTGCAACGCATCCTAATGACACATCCACGTTCCAGTTAGAACAGTATTCGTGCCACTGGATGTGTATCTCTACTTTAATATACATCCTAGTTGATGTTCTCACATAGGTCCCGTTCGATTTGAGCCAGAATATTCAACATACAACAAACCCAGTTCAACCACGATCTTTGTTTTACACCAACATCACGTTATCGCTCCCCTTACATGAAACACAGAACAAGAACTGCCAGCACAGCGCCAACTCCACACCTGGCGGCACTGCCATTGGCCAAAACCGCAGTACCGACTGGAGTACCCTGCTTGACAGTGATCGGAGTAGGCCTGTACTCCGGAGGACATGGCAAACTTTCTACCGTCCTGGACATCAGGTAGATCTTTCCCGTACCTAGTGAGAGAATCAGTAAATGAAAAAGCAAGTGAGGCAGTAAAGAAGTAAGTCAGTACAGAAGTAAGTCAGTAAAGGAGTAAGTGAGTCAGTAACTAAGTAAGTAAGTGAGTGAGTCAATGAGGGAGTCAGTGATACGAGTTTGATCTTTTGTTTCCCTGCTTGACAGTGATCGGAGTAGTAGTCCAGTCATTATATCCAAATAACGGACCTTACCCGTGAATAATTTTTTAGTGTTTTTTTTTATAGGTGTCTCGGGGAGTGTAAATTCAAACTGGCGACCAAATCAAGCTTTTGCGTATGTTTTTTGTTAAAAAACGGTTTTTCCTAAATAACTCGCCCATTTTTGATTCTACAGAAAAAGTTTGGATACAAAAATTGTAGTAAATTTGGTTCTCTACAAGTTTGGTCATCACAATTCTTCTGATAGGATCGACATTTTGTAAATCAAACCTGAAAAAAGCGACAAATTCGAAATATTTTCATTATCTCGTTTATTCTCAACTTTACGGCATAAATGAACAGAAACATACTTGTAGAGAATCAAATTTTGGACAAATTTTGTCTTCACCTGTTTTTCCGAAAATCGATATTTTCGAAATGAAACCTAAAAAAAAACGACTCATTCGAAATATCATCATTATCTCGTTTATTCTAAACTTTACACCATAAATGAGAAGAAACAAACTTGTAGAGAATCAAATTTATGACATATTTGGTAACAAAAATAGTTCCGGAACCATATTTTCACACCGACATGACAGACAAGCTACCTGCGCGGGATAACCTCTTCATTTATGCTGTAAAATGCGAAGCATTGGAGATAATGATAACCTTTTGAATTTGTCGCTTTTTTCAGGTTTAATTCCCAAAATATCGATTTTTGGAACAAAAACGTGGTAACCAAAATTGTTTAGAATTTGATTCTCCACAAGATTAGTTCTTTTCATTTATGCCGTAAAGTTGAAAATAAACGAGATAATGAAAATATTTCAAATTTGTCGCTTTTTTCAGGTTTAATTTACAAAATATCGATCCTATCAGAAAAATTGTAGAGACCAAACTTGTAGAGAACCAAATTTACTACAATTTTTGTCTACAAACTTTTTCTGTAGAATCAAAAATAGCCGAGTTATTCAAGAAAAACCGCTCTTTAACAAAAAAAAAACAGTTTTCACACGCAAAAGCTTGATTTGGTCGCCATTTTGAATTTACACTCCCAGTGACCCCCCCATCCGAGACACCTATGAAAAAAAAACACTAAAAAATTATTCACGGGTCAAAGTCTATAATGACTGGACTATAGGCCTGTACTCCGGAGGACATGGCAAACTTTCTACCGTCCTGGACATCAGGTAGATCTTTTCCGTACCTAGTGAAAGAATCAGTGAGTGAAAAAGCAAGTCAGGCAGTAAAGCAGTAAGTCAGTACAGAAGTAAGTCAGTGACGGAGTAACTAAGTCAGTAACAAATCAAGTCAATGATACGAGTTTGATCTTCTGTTTCACTCCCAAATTAATTTCATTTTCTACATAGTTTACATTCGTATATCGATACCCGAGTTCAATAGAGTAACAACTCGAATAATAACCATTTTGAGTTGTATACGCTATCTGATTCATCATTTTGTTAGCTTTCACGTTCTATATACTGTAACAACTAACCTAACCTCACCAAGAGATGGTGCTAGTTACTCTATAGAACTGAAGGAAACTCCATTTTCATATAATCCTTTACTGTGATAAATTGATACAAGAATAAAGACCAGTCACCTTCAACACTCAAAATCAACCTATATTACTATGTTATATCATTGTTTCTGCAGTGATTCTAGTTATTGTACAGGGTATCCCAATTTGGGCACTTTTGCGGGGTATCTCCCTTATCAGTAAAGATAGAGCATTGCGGTTTTCGCGACAGTGTGCTACTTTTTTATGAAATTAATAATGGCGCAAGCAGAATTGTGATAGCTCTTCCGGTTGTCGAGATACAGGGTGGAATTGAAAAATATCACTTTTCAGGCACCCTCCGTGTCTCAGTTATCTTTGAACTTATCGAAGAAGTTAAAACTTGTTTTTATAGAGTTTTTCTCGTAGAATCCAGTGGCGTAGTTATTTTTTGCTAGCACCTTTTGTTTTTTAGTTATGGAGCAAACATATGTTTTTTTAAATGGAAAATAATAGTATACAATTATATATTTTTGGAAAGCCCACTTCATGCTCAATGTATATATGAAATAATATACAGGGTGTTCCATTTAAAAAAACATATGTTTGCTCCATAACTAAAAAACAAAAGGTACTAGCAAAATAATAACTACGCCACTGGATTCTACGAGGAAAACTCTATGAAAACAAGTTTTAACTTCTTCGATAAGTTCAAAGATAACTGCCTGAAAAGTGATATTTTTCAATTCCACCCTGTATCTCGACAACCGGAAAAGCTATCATAATTCTGCTTGCGCCATTATTAATTTCATAAAAAAGTAGCATACTGTCGCGAAAACCGCAATGCTCTATCTTTACTGATAAGGGAGATACCCCGCAAAAGTGCCCAAATTGGGATACCCTGTACAAGCTATCCCATTTTTGATGTCCTTACGGGATATCTCACTCATTTTTGAAGATAGAGATTTGCGGTTTTTGCGAACGTTGGCTACTTTTTTTGTGAAACTCACGATAACGAGAACAATATTTCCATGACCTTCTTCGTTTTTGAGATACAGGGCGAAATTGAAGATGTTGCATTTTGGGACCCCCCTGATTCTAAGCTATTCTTCAACTTATAGGAGAAGTAAAAACTGCCACTCATATTGTTTTTCACGTAGGATTCAGTGGCGTTATCAGATATTCAGATATAACCCATTAACCCATAATTTTGTTTTCCCAATGGAATACCCTGTATATTTTTTTATATTTGAATTATTGTGCTTGGCGCTTTCCAAAAGTCTTGAATTTGGATAATTTGAAATTTAGTAGTATATTTCTCATTGATTCATATCAACCCTGTTGCTGACATATTGTTTCATCACAAAATATATTTCAAATTATACCAATATTCAGCAGTATTTATTACTATGAAATCTGTGGACCAAATTGGTAGATAGCTATGAAAAGAAAAAGCGAGTGCAGATTGTTTTATAATAATTATTCTTGTCACGACCTGTTCACGAATTTTCCATCCAATGGCGAATTATATACGAAAATTTAGAAACCAACTTATATCCCAACCATAATATATAGGTAATCTTTCGTAGTTTTGATATCCTGGATTATTATTCGCCATTGTATGGAAAATTTGTGAACTTCGACAGGTAGTCAGGTGACAACAATTATAAAACATTCTGCACTCGCTTTTATTCAGTACCACCTACTATTTAGGTCCACAGCTTTTATAGTCAATGAATAGTGCTGAATATTGGTAAATAATTGATGTTGGTAAAATTTGAGCTATTGTGTGACAAAACACTCTGTCAGAAACAGGGTGAATATAAAAATTCATGATAATAAAATATTAAAAATATTGACACACTTTTACAAGGCAGATCAATAAGAAAAATACAAAAAAATTGTAAATTATCTGAATTCAAGGCTAATACTCAAAATAACGTATGAGTGTTATATAATTTTTTCGAAAGCGCAAAGCATCAATGTTTCAATTATGAGAAAATATACAGGGTGTTCCTTCAAAAAAACATAGAGTATCAGTTTTTACTCTTTATATAAGTTGAAAGACAGCTGACATACAGGGGGAGGTCCAAAAATGCAAAATGTTCGATTTCACCATGTATCTCAAAAACGAAGTGGGCTATGAAAATTTTGTTTGCAGTATCGTAAGTTTCACTCAAAAGTAGCTGACATTCGTGAAAACAGCAAATCTCTATTTCTGAAAATAAGTGAGATATCCCGTAAGGGCATCGAAAATGTGACAGCCTGTACTTACTTCTTCAAAAATAATGATAATATTTGATCACAATGCTACATATTATCAATTATATAATTTAGATCAATCGTATAACAAGTCTGAACGGAATCATTTTTTACCAAAAGTATTTTGTCCTTAATTGGTTGATTTCAGGAAGTGAATAGAAAACTACTATGGCGGGGCAATTATTTCATATTCTTGAGAGATACTCTCTACAAAGATAGATTGAAATTATCATGACTTCAATTTACGATTGCGATTTCCTCGTAACTACGATTGTTGAGATGTTACACTAATGAACTTAGGTATTGATATGACAAGGGTTCTTACAATTTGGAAATAGGACATCTGGATGTTAGAGTCCATACAGGAACACCCTGTATAGTGAAAACACACTTGCCTCAAAAATAAGTAAATAATGGTTGATTTTATAACAAGTGGGGAAAAAAATAATCACCTTCAAAGTCCTCATCTTCGTCCGGATATTCCTCGGCGCCGAAATCCGGGTCTATGGAGTTGGACCGCTCCGAGTTGGGGCACACCGGGAACTCCTTAACTTCCGTCGTGACGGCCACCGCCTCGGCGTATACTGTGCACTGCAACTCCTCCAAGGAGTTGCGGATGTGGCCCTGCGTGGTCTTGAGATAGAGCGTGTACACCCAGTCAAGGCGGCAGTCGCAACTGAACTTGTTTCCTGCAACAAAAAAAAAACGAAATGCATTATTAGGTTTCTTTCAATTTTGTCATGTAATATGTTACACCTCAAGTTATCAGTTGTGTAATAGTATATTGTGCAACAAGTGGGAAAAGTTCAACTTTTCTCACGAGTGTGAAAGTTTGTGGCACGCCTGAAGGGCGAGTGATGCAAACACACGAGTGAGAGAAGTGTAGTATTGAGTGGTATTCATTTTATAATGTGGCACTATGCAATACCGATCAGACGAACTAGACAAGCCCAGTCAGCACATCCTCTCGTTGTCAACCTCGAAATATGTCGATCAGCACTTTATCAAGACTCCTTCATCCATAGAACGGCAAGGTTCTGGAATTCATTGCCTGTGGAAGTATTCCCAACAACATATAATCTCCAAAAGTTCAAAAAAATTTCCAATACCTACTCCCTGTCCCTATCCTCCCTAGGAACGCACGATGTTCTTTGAACATTATAGGGATTCCCTTTCGTGCGCTCCAAGCCTTAAAAAAAATTGTAACCAAAGAGTAGACGCCTTTCTTAGTTCCTCAAAGTATTTAAAAAAAGTACATTTTCCGAAAAAGATTTTATGTTTATGTTTTCAGATTCCATAAATTTTTCGTTTATGCCAATTCATACTTTTTTCTTGAAATTTCTGGAAACAAATCCAACTTTCGCAGCTTCTTCCATTATCTCTGTCTCTGGCGGTGTATTTATCAATATCGTCACATCTCGGTATATACATCATATTATGTTTATTATGAATTGTTGGAATAATATTTGATTGTAAATGCGATTTCTATCAAGAGCCCTATAATGATAACTACCCTAAAGGATTTGAAAAACTTCTTCTGACAGTTGTGACAAATATTCAAAGCTGAAGAGCAGCCAAGTTTTGGTCGATTTTTGTTGATTCTCCATGGCAATGTATGTGGTGTTGGCAAAGTGCCGTGAGAAAAAATATTTCTCATAGTATGAGCAAAACATGGTTTTGAAGCTAAGTTAGCTATGAGAAATGCGCTACTTTTCATAGCAGTAGTAGAAAAAGTAACATTTTTCTACTACTGCTTTCATGTTCATTAGTTGCGTATTATTTGTTTCTTTCTGGTAACGGTGTCGGAAACAGAATGGCGTTTACAAATGATACGAGAAACTTCAGAAAGAATTGACAATTACATTGATATACCTGCTATTCCTGCTGACCTACAGAATAATTCGAAAGGAATGGAAATTGGGAATATAATAGATGCAACTGATCCTTGCAACCAGCGAGACACGTATAAGTGATATTGGTTGTAGATGTGTCCAGTCCATTGCTTACTAACCTTCGTTTCACGTTTATTGTCATGCTTAGCGCAGAATAAATAAATTGTTCTCAAAGATGAATGCTTCATTTCTTGGAGATACGCAAGTACCAAAACATTCTCTTTGATTTCACTTTCTCATTCTACATTTCGCATATATGTTCAATGAAAAATTCTGATACAAACGGAAATTGTTTGAATAATTCTAATACAAAATTCGAAAATGACATCTGACAGTTAATACTATTGACAGGCCAGACATGTCTCAAATTACTGAAGCTGTGTTTAATGAACTGTGTTGCCATGGTAATGTGTTTAAGAAATAAGAAATCGTGTTGCCATGATAACGTGTTTGATATTTTGAATAAATCACAGATCGTCAATCCGTGATTAATCGATCATTCAGCGTGGTACGGATCCGTACGCTAATAGTATATTATGTAACAAGTGTTATAAAAGTCTTTTTTCTACAAACGTCAAAAAATGACAAGGTTCGCGCATTGATAACAAATTGCGAAGTGACACTTTTTTTCAGTTTCCTACGTTACCATGATACCTAGCACAAAACAATGCGCGAAGTAAAACAGTGCGCGAAGTACCTACTTCGCGCACTGTAATTTAAAATATATGAGATATTTATATTTCAACTTTATGGTCCTCAATCGAGCAAACATCCACGAAATCATTTATTTCTGAATGTTCAACAATAACTTCGTTCTATCTCTTGGAGCGCACGAAAGGAAATTCCTATTGTTCGAGGAACATCGTGCGTACCTAGGGAGGATAGGGGGAGGCCTTTTAAGCCAGTTCAAGACTATTTTTTATATCAAGCTAAGCATATTTCTACTTTAGAACTATATTTTTGGACGTTTGCAGAAAAAAATTTGTTTGCAACTCGAGCGCGAAATACTTTGGTCATCTCGACTATTTTTTAACTCGGCTACGCCTCGTCAAAAAATTCAGATCTCGATCACCAAAGTAGCATTTCGCGCTCTAGATACAAAAATAACTATTTAGTAACGAGTATATTAAGCACGAGCGGAGCAGAGCAGAGCAGTCATGATCTGCTCTTGCAATCCCTGGAAGATATTGGTTGCTGAATCGTAATTTCTCTAACTCTCATCGGAATCAGAAAGATCAGGGAGAACACTACAGGTGTAGCTTTCTAATTTGTACTGCACCGGATTGGTGAAAAAATTCCATACAAAGTTCAGATGAATATTTCGTCGATTTCGTCCGAGCCATTACTCACTACATTCAACTAGAAGTATTCGAATCAGTTTTTTCGCATATGATATAGCAGTTGAATCGAGTTGAATTAAGTTATTATTGAAAAAATCAGGACCGGACTTGGTTTTTGGAAAGAATTACAAAACATAATTTTCGAAAAAGATATGTCTGTATCCTAAATAAACCACTTATAGAGGCATTGAAAAAATAAATTGGTCAGTGGTAAAACGGTGTAGTGTGATCATTATCATCATTATTCTTGACCAGAGTTAGCCAAAGAGTTCCTGGAGTTTTCAGTCTCATTTCCACTGTTTCCGGTATCGGAGGGTTGTCTGAGGACGCCCGGAGCGAGCGAGACAAATCCAATTTAAATATTCAATTTAGCAAACTAATATTTTCCGAGTAGTTTGAGTTGTCACTTCATTAAACTAACTTGGCGTGTGTGATTGTTCGCCGAGAGGAAAAGAGAGGCGACAACCTCAGATGGAATATCACATCAGACAAATTAGGATTCTGATCAATTTCATTTGAGAATTGGCTGCAAGCCATTGGCTCCCCAATAAAATGGGTCTGGTAATGGAATATATTTACAGCGTGTCCCGGAATTAGCCTGCTAAGCTCCACCAGCGTCTCCTACAACCAATAATATAGGAAAAAAGAGTAGATGATTTCTTCAGAGCCATACTTTGATTCAAAAATTGGCTACGTTTATGCATATAAAATGTGAGATGTAACAATATTTTTAAATGGTTTTCACTCGAAAATGTTACATTTGATCGATACGAAACAGAAGCAGCTTCTTTCTGTAAAGAGGTGTGGATTTCCATAATCTGAGATCAAATTGTTGAAAAATATGCATACAAGAAAGCAATATTGAACCTTTCGGAAGTCGCGCGCAGATTTCTGACACAAGAAATATTCGCGCGCGTACTATGTGTAAGTGTAAGTATTTAAGAGGAGAGATTCAACCAAATCGACATGCAGGCCTGCACTAGTTGTTGCTATTTGGGCTTATGAATGATTCAATTGAAAAACTGATTAAATCATCGTAAAGAAGAAGGTTGGGACTAGGGCCTGGTTATCATACGGAGTCGAAACTCATTTATTTATAGAAGATACAGATTTTTGAAAAACGTAAACATTGAAATTTTTTTGTCTCAAATTGAAATATTTTCGATCTCAGTACAATTGTTGGAAATTCGGCGAGGTGTCACTGAAATATCAGCTCTTGAAATGGTTCCATTCGAACAGGAAGCAACAAAAACGATTATTCTGTCAACAAAATATCCATTCATCCCAGCTGATCTCGGTAAACTCCATTTCTTGAAAGAATATAATGCAGGAAACTAGGATGTGGTAGTTCAGGCACTACCTGATAGATGGCAGTGTTCGAAATGACAGACTGCGGCAGAGAGGAATGGTGCATTGTATTGCCAGCAGATGGCGCTTAGGAGAGATGATGAATTCAAACCCGTTTACACCGTTGCCAATGTTATACATATTACTCGGACATATTATGAAATCTAGGCGACGTGATAATACAGAGGGTATTATTCAATTATCTGGGCATATTTCAAGGGGAGGTTCTCCGAGTGTTTGTAAGACGAACAAATCTAATATATAAAACTCTCCTGTCACGGTCACGGTCATAGTGGTCGAACTCCTCCGAAACGGCTCGACCGATTCGTATGAAATTTTTTGTGCGTATTCGGTAGGCATGAGAATCGGTCGTAATCTATTTTTTAAATAGAAAATACAAAATGGCGGATCCAATATGGCGACCGAGTATAGTTATCCGATTTCATTCAAAATTGGTACTCAGGGGTTTTCGGGGTCGGAGATTATGAATATTTAGTCAAATTTTGGAAATTCAAGATGGCGGATCCAATATGGCGGGCGAGCTTTGTAATTATGGTCAGATTCCATCCAAAATTGGTATCTGGGGGTTTTCGAGGTCGGAGATTATGATTTCTTCATCGAAATAAGGAAATTCAAAATGGTGGATCCAATATGGCGGACGAGTTTTGTAATTATTTTTTTTATCGCTTGGAGCGCACGAAAGGAAATCCCTATAATGTTCAAAGAACATCGTGCGTTCCTAGGGAGGAAAGGGACAGGAGGTAGGTATTGGAGTTTTTTCTTGAACTTCTGGAGATTATTTGTTGTTGGGAATACTTCCTCGGGCACTGAATTCCAGAGCCTAGCCGTTCTATGGATGAAGGAGTTTTGATAAAGTGCTGTTCGACATCTTTCGAGGTGGACAACGAGAGGATGTGCTGACTGGGCTTGTCTACTTCGTCTGACTGGTATTGCTAGTGGAGGGATGATAGCCATTTCCCGTGGAAGTATCGATAGAAAAGTGAAAGGTCGCCGACCTTTTTACGGTGTTCCAATGATGTCAAAGAGTGAGTGAGTGTGGCGTCACCCACCAGGCGAATGGCTCTTCTCTGGATGGAATCTAAGAGCATC